ACAAAGTTCAAATGAATGAATGGCTTCTGAATTAACGGTTAAATTAACTATTGACACACAAAATATTTACGTTGCTTCTGGCTTAAATTTGTTTTATTGCTGTACAGAGATTTCTTCTTTTTCGTTTGAAGACAACAAACAATGTTCAACAATTGCAATGCCTGGTAGACAAGATTCGCGAAAGGAGTTGGTACTAGTGCTGTTTTTCAAGTAGGTCATGAAATGGTCTAGTTCAGGTAGCTTGACAAGGCTTCATTGAAAATAAGTTAGCAAACCTTATTCGCACGTTTTACCTCTCTTGACCACAATAAGCCTTGTACCGGCCCCATAGAAACTCCATTGAACTGTAAATACCTGCGGCCGGGGGTGCAGGAAGCTCGACAATAAATCACCCTGTTTACGTTTTAAAATACCCACAAGCTGAAAATTTCCATTTCGGGCCCGGCGAGTCGGAAAAATTCCATTTTCAACCGGCATTCGAACGGGCCCTTTCAGGCCACCTCCGGGAAACCTTTTTATCCCGTTGTTTGTTTGAATTGGAAATGAAGGCGATGACAAAGTCATGAAGAACTACCACAATGAAACCAAACTGGCAGATTTTAGTTTCAGCAAAAAATCATTCTAACATTCTAATAAAAATCAAACAAGCACCTATGAGTTGTCCACAATTTTACCACACATATCTGTTGTCACACAATAGGGCTATTCACTATCCTCGTATTAACCCTGTTAACAATGTTTTTTTTTTTTTTTTTTTTTTTTTGGCGTTATGAACTATGCATATTAGCCATGTGACAAATTCGTATATGTGTGTTCAAATTTGGGGGGTTATTGGGAAAAAAGGGCCAGGGGCAACGGTGGGAATCGAACCCACGACCGCGGCGTGAGAGTCTCTCATGCTAACCACTCGGCTACCGCGGTCCCCTGTTAACAATGTTAGGTCCTGTTAGTTCGAGAAAAGGGATGACGTAGACTTGTAAAAATCGGCTGGTTAACAATGCTCGATCTAACAGGGCAGAGCCAATGTTAGGTCGAAAATGTAGTAACATTGCTATCCGTTAGGGCGTAGGTAACCAACATGGCCATGAATTTAACAGTTGTTTTTTGTTTACACGGATTTTTATTCTTATATAAGCATTAATTAAATCAGACCAATACATTTCTTTTGTTCATTTCTGACCTGTGCTTTCATTCATAATAGATACATCCCCTATCCTATAAAGTTGTAGATTAAGCTGTTAGATGTTATGGTACACGTTAGGTATGTCGGACGAATTGAAGCGTGTCGTATCTTAGTACTTTTCGAGTGCGTAGATAGCATTTTGAATAAAAGAGTTGGTTAATTTTCCTTTTTTATTAACTTCTGGCATCTTAAAATTTAACACAAAAGAAAACCAAAACAAACAATAACACGCCTTCAAGGACTGTTATAGCTTTATTTTTGGTTCTGCCAATCACCACGCGCAGCATTGCGGAAAAAGTAACGTTTAACATGCTAAGAAAAGATGGGGGCATTCATAACCTTACTGACATTTCTCTATTCGAGTTAACATCTTACGAACATTGTGAATGCCCCTAATATTTTTCAAAAATGGTTGAAGTAGTGAAAACATTTTGACCTTTATTCAGATCTCTTCAAGGTTTAATGTGTAGTGTTATTCATGGAGTTTAATATTTTAAGTGTATGTTACGTGTTGCACAACAATACACTTAACAAACATGACAGTAGAGGACTAACACTACAATTTATGCCTTAAAGTTAACTGGAATAAAGCTACAAAACAAACAAGAGGGTGGCTACCATTTTGCCTCTCAGTGTATATTACAGAAGAAATAAATAAACATCCATGGAAAAAATACCAGATGGACTGAATTTTGAAAAATAATAACAGTAAAGTTGTTACGCAGGGAATCGCTATGCAGTTATTTAAGTTCTTACAAAAAATGCTTCCATCACCTCTTTCGACATTGAAAAGCCTTTTTTCACGAACAAATATATTTTGAGCATTAAGAAACACTGTATTTTTTTTTGTATTTTTAGCGAAGGTTTGTAACAGCAGAGGTCATATCGACCCCTCGGAGTTCCGGTATTAAAAACAAAAAGTTTCAAGGGATCTCATTGTCTATTTTAATTAAGAACATGAAAGGCTTCATCCCTGATTTCTTTACTTTACTATTTATCGTTTTGCCTAATGTACTGGACTTTAGAAAAAAGTGAAATGTACACCAATAGATACGACACAAGGATACTTCGGACCTTCAAGGCCGATACTATACTCAACGATAAGGGTATGAAACTTGATTATTTTATTCATATAATATTTTAAATTATAAGATTTTTCTGTCCTCTTTCTTTTCTTTCAAAATAAATATGAACTAGCCCAAATAGAAAAAATAAGTCAAGGTTAAAATGGTTAATTACTAGTTGGTTGATATCTAGGACATTCATGCTGCCTATTTTAATATATTTGATGGAATTTGTGTGGTATATTGGAAGGTATAACATTCCATATTTGAATTTTTATCAATGTATATTATAAGACATATTTTTATTTCATGTACATCCGAACTCTACTTGTGGATATAATACATTTAGCAAAATAAACACATTTTTTTCATACACCTAGTGCACCGGATTGGGACGATTTTAATCAATGTGACATTTATAGCGTTTCACCAGTTATACGAAAAGTCTTTGCTCTTATTGTTTGCCATGTATGGTCGCATCCGGTCCTTTTGTAATCGCAGAGCCCATTTTACTTGTTTAAAAACAAGTTCGATTGTTTTCGTTGTTCTGATATTTCGACCAACGTCCGGTTTTGAGTTGCGATTTCCATCGCGTTTGCAAATTTTGTTTACTTTAAAATTGTTTACACTTTCGTGGAAAATCAGAAAATCACGCTAATCCTACAGGTCCACCTATTCTCTCGTTTCTCAAAAAAATATCAGTACACTTTCGTTAAATGTTAGAACACTGATAACCACCCAAGACTAGTCCCGTCTCATTTTCATATTTTTATTAAGGTACATTAGGGTCAAACTGATTTCAAATCAAGATATGATACTTCCTTTTACTATTATTCAGTTAGTTGTATCTTCTATGCGATCGACCTGCCTTTATTCAATAATCCTCTCGAGGATTAGGGTTGTGGTCAGAAAAACATATAGTGCTATTCACCCAACTTTCGATGATATTATTGTTAGTCAAAATTTAAAAACCACAAACCTTCATCTTCACTACTTTTTTAACTATATACTTATATATGCAACTTAACTCTAATAATAAATAAATACCAAAATACATTTAACAGGTATATATATATATATATATACCTAGAATATAATCATAATAATGATCTGTGATATGTCTATATGAATGCAAAATTCATTAAGTTTGTTCTCTGTAGACCCTGAAGAAGACGAAATATATCTTCGTAAGCTCGGCGTTGGTACAAAAGGAGTATTTGTTTTTCTTACCTTTGTTTTAATTTCAAAAATTACTGTAATATTTGAATTTTGCACAAGGAATATAACATAAGTTCGTCATTTTAGTCCGTTAATCCCCGCTATTTGGAACCAACTATCAATTCGTTAGAATTAAATTTGCAACTTTTTCCTAAGTATCACTTCGATATATAACTCCTGGTTGATATGGATAACCAGATTTCCAATCAAAGTTTAATTTAATCTTTTACTTGTACAAATTCGTTCCAATACGTGTCAGAGGAAATATTTATCCTGATCCCTTGAATAAATCTTTTTATTCACGACTTCAACAAATTATGAAACAACAAGTCACTAAGAGACACATATTTGTCGAGAGTTGAATACTTTCTATTTATGTATGGTGTTTAGTGACCGTTAGTTAATGATTAGGTGAATGTCGTGAGATGAGGTCTGGTGTGACGTAGGTTTTAGAAGAACATTTTCTTTATCGTGCCATCGTTTCGATCTTTACTGGGATCATCTTCAGGGCTCAGTGTTTGTTTTCTGTGTAGATCTGGAATTATTGTGTGTCGTGTTGAGAGTGCCAATGAGATATTTAGTCTCAAATATGTGAAATATCTCAAATATTAGAAAATGTTTTTCTAAAACCTACGTCACACCAGACCGCATCTCACAATCTCCACATAATCACTTTCCATTTGTTCTGAAGAAAAAAAAACATATATAGTTAATTCTTTATTGACAAAGGTAAATTAAACTTCACCCTTAACAACAAATGAATAACTGAATTTCTCACTTTTTCATATCGATTTCGGTGTTTATTAATGAAGCCTTTTGAGCAGAATGAATTCGGGAAGGAGAATCGATAATTAAGTGAGTTTATCTATTCGTCAGGCACGGTTAGAAGAGTAGCACGGGTGTAAGGCTTCTTGGCAGCCCGGTGCCCTATAATGGTAACCATTTAAAAACGATTATTCCTCTTGGCTCATTTGCCAGCGCGGACAGGCAACAAACAAGTGTTGTGATGGGTGGGCGCACCTGGCTCCTCTCGGCACTTGACACCAACTCATTGAGCACAGCAATCGACTGGAAAACCATCGATGACAAATACCTCGGCCTTTTTTCCGAATCGGTCTTAAAACTTAACTTGTTTACACTGTATTAATTCGTTTGCCCGACGCTGCGGAGCGGATAAAATCCGCCTTGGCTCACTGTGTTTAATGGGGATAAGCCTATTGGTATTTGATAAACTGGAAAACCTGTTGCTGCCGACGATGAATTGTACCCCTTTTCTATCGATTTTTGAAAATAATCTTTTCAAAATCAAAGACTGAATAATAAACACAATTTGATTTTTGACAGTTGTACATATATACGATAAACGTTTGAAAGGTGACGTACAGCTGGCCAATCTTCAGAAAAACCACTTCTCTGTGTTAAAATCTTCCAGACGGACGCTTTTGAGCAATGCCTGCAGTCTATTTTTTTCTCTCTTCCCGCTGAGTTCCTAACAATTTCTCTCACTCCAGGCCATACCTCGTTTTAGTGCTGCAATATTAAGACGTTTGGAGGTACGTATATTAAAATGGGAATGATATGGAGAAGATTAGCATCACCCATGCGCAAGGTTGACATGCAAAATTTTCTTCTGGAAAATTCTTCTGTTACGTTAGGCACAACTACATTTTCTCAGTTCACAAAGAATAACAGTTTAAATGAATTCTATTTTCGTTGATTAGTTAGTTAGTTCAGTTAGTTATTAGTTAAGAAAAACAAGCATTATTTTGTGTAGAGAGAAATGGATTAACAAAGTATGTAAACATTAAATTAATTATTTGGAACGTTTGGAAAAGTGACTTTAAAAAGGCTGTCGGGACAAGAAAGAATGCCAATCTGCATTTCTTCCCGATCTAGATCTGGTATTGATTAATGACTGTAAAACAATGGTAAGGACTCAGCAGGGAGAGAGAAAAAACCAACATCACTGCCGACACTGCTAGAAAGCCCGCGACGACAATGGCACGCTTTCGCCGGGCCTTCTGGAAAATTTTCGACACAGGAAGGAAAACGGGCGATGTGCTGCTTCAACGGCGCTCCTCATAGCTTTTCGGGTGCAACGAACTGGCCGGCAGACCATTTTAACACAGTTTTCAAACCGCTTAGCATAATGCCAAATGCTAATTGCCGAATCGGCTTGCTACGGCGATATTCAAATGGCCATATTCCTCGCCAGTCCCGTGGGTTCGTTGAACTTCTTTTAACACAAAGGCCTAATTCAATGGACAGACAAATGTCCTACCAATATGAACCGTTCCGATGTATTTTTGAAAGGTTAAAATATGCAAATTCTCAGTCACAACCCAAGTGGAATTTATTCGTTAATTATCGTGAAAACAACCCGACCGTTTGTTTATTCTTCGAAATTAAACTGTGCCCAGTCGCTACCGTATACCTAGTATCATAGATATACAACCTTACTTCCATTCCATTTGCCTCATTGTTTATAAAAAACACGATTAAATTTTGCCATAAGAGTAAAAATAGAAAAACTATCGGCTATTAAAGGCACGTCAGTATTCACAACAGTAGAAATATATGTTTAAGGAGGACAAACCAATAGTTTTATCTTGATGTAATGCTGAAACAGTTCAGGCATACATTTTTAACAGACTTTTATTCAAGGACTTTGCTATGTGTATACAGCATATGTACAACTGTATAGTAACTAGTATAGTGCACTAGTACTACTGCATAGTACTCAATCATGTATCACTAATCATATACAGTCTTAAGCTGCTGTCATAATAAAAATTTTACTTAATTTAGGATATGCTATAAAGTTTCCTCGCGTTTTTCTAGCTTATTACTATATTCATCATTGACTGGAAATAAGTCTTTACGTTGTTAAACAAAGTTAAAAGAAATTTAATTTCTAATCATCAATTTCTTGTCATTATCTCTGAAGGATTTAAGACGTTCTTTGAATCGATCTCTTAATTTCTTTATAACTAGCTTTTCCGTATGTTATTATTGGTCCTTAGTGCTGTTTTTAATCCGAGTTTTTGAGAACAAGTTGGATAGTGGTTTTATCGTATGAAAAACGGTGGGGGCAAAAAATTTCAAATAATTTGTTTAAAAAATATGGCTGTTAAAAGTTCAACAAGCCTATACTTCCTACCACATAATGTATTATAAACATAACCAAAAGTTGTAAAAAATAAGTAAAGAAATTTATCAGCAATATAATTTTGTCCTAATTCATGATCCATCTTCTATGTAATTTTGTACTTATGATCGTCTAGACCAAAACCCTCTGTAATATTTTAAATGCTCGATTCTATTTTTCCAAGCGTACCCTTCACCATGACCTCAACATTCCTAATGTTTCATACTCCATCAAATCGAAGTACAACAAATTCCACTCCTCACTCACTAGTCATCCCAATCCCTTAGTAACCCAACTTTCCTGAGCCACACATCCTGATAGTCAACAACGCCGACTGAAATGCCGATGGCCCCTTAATCTCATCTTAAGTGTGACCCGGTGTCTTGAGTGAAAACTTAGGTTAGGTGAAGGCTTACTTCTATCGAAGTGTTACTACTGAGTGACTTCTCCGCTCAACAGAATCTAATTCAATTGCATTTCTTTACGACCGTTGTATTTACTTGTTGTAGTTAATTCGGCAGTTGTAAATGAAAAAAAAAAGGTTTTTCCAAAACTACTCAGGTTTTACAATGAAGAACTGAACTCGGTGTGTTTTCTGCAGTCCTCATTAATGAGGTATAGTTTTTCCTATTAGATTTTTCAGGGTCCGGAATAAGGGAAATTCTGAAGGGCCAATGGCAAGCCAAGCTCCACCAAATTCTGGCGGATCTTCAAAAATATGTAGGGAGAGTGTTGTTTCTAGTGGAAAATTACATTACGAAATTGGATTAGACAGAGGTCGTTTTTAGCCAATTGCTGACTTTAGCCCCTCCATCTGTCTGTAATATACACTATAATTAACGATTTTGTTGTGCAAAAGAAGCTCATCAAAATAAAGCATATCTTTCCATATCCACCATGCATATGTTCATTACCTTCTTGGGAAGTAATCAGAATTTTCCAGTAGTTATCCGTGGGTCACTGCATTTTCCCAAGATTTTCTTCTCTGAAAATTCTTGTCAATACCAACTTTTCTTCACCAGTTATCTATCTTTTTATAAATTCTTCTTTTGCGTTGCCTTTTAGAAGGAAATCTAAGTCTACGATATCTTGTGCATGCATTTTCTGAATTAAAATTTTTACTTCTGAAGAGGGAAAACCAATAGCGTAGGGTATTTTTTTTATAGTGACATCATACGCATCCCATTTTTTCTAGCAGTCTAAGCAGGGGTTTTTCCTTAAAAATTAATCAGTAATAAATAGGCAATAAAAACGCTGTAAATGTATGAAATAAGTTTTTTTTCTCCTTTTTAAATTAGCGATAAATACGAAACCTCGAACAAACTTGAAGAATAAAATTTTCTCTTCTAATTATAGGTTTGTTTAATTTAAGAGATTTTTTCTACATTTTCTTAACAACAAGAGAATTTTCGACACTACGAATTCATATTTTTAATGTTTAATATTTAATGCATTGAATTTTTAAATTTGATATATATGAAAAGTTACAGTTTCTCTATTTGGTTCTATTGTTATATGTTTTGAACTTATTACTCTGTCACTAGTTGTATAGTTAGAGGGTTGTAGTTATTTTTAATTTGTGTGGTTTCAGTTACTCCTTGTACAGCACATATTTTTAACAACGCACACAAGTTTTTTTTTAATTTATTTATTTGACTGAGGTGTTTTGCAAAGTTTATTGAAAATAAAATAAATCGGAGAGCGTCGTTGCGTGCCACTAATGGGAGAAAGCCAAAGTCTCGGACAAGTAGATCACCGATTACAGACTTCGAGTTCTGAAATAATCGCGTTCCATTTGCTTTCAAATATATCCTGTCGAGAAAAAAAGTCGAATTGCTTTCTTCTGAGCTCCTTGACACCAAAACTCAAATAGGGCGAACTCTCGGGCTGAAAATGAACAATTGTTCGAATAAAGATTGACAGATTTTGTATGCCTGCCGTCGTTTGAGTCATTAGCACGGATTCCAATAGAAATCCCATAATAGATACTATCGGACAATTTACATTCACGGTTTAAAAAAAGTATAAATACAGGGGTCGTCATAAAATGGAATGCCTTCTTTTTAAATTAAAGTTTATTTTTCAACAATACGAAGGTACTACAATACTTAGAAGGATAGACATCGATCAGATTTCGTGAAACAGTTTTAGATCTGTGAAACTTTGCGATAGATACATTCCTCTTTAGTCTATCGCCCGGCAGATCTTCAACCCTTTACTTTTTCATTAGAACATCTACTAGGCGACCCAAAAAAAAAGTATGCACATCGAACGGTCATTTATGGCTATAGTGTAGAGAAAAACGATTTTTACACATAGCATTTATTTTCCCGTTACATGTTGAAACTTTCATTGTTGAAAGATATTTAGCCAAACTGCTTTCTATCTGAATTACTACGCCAGGAAGCAAATAAAAACATCTGGCTACCAATTATTTCTGTCAATGGGTCACATTGAAGGCTGAAGACAAAATAAAAGTTAGGAAAACGTAGTACTGGAGCGTACATATATATTTGGGGGACAAATTTTGGTTTTATTTAATAGCTTATTTTTCGAGGGTTTTAGGTAATTTTTGAACAATTTTTTTTCAATGAAATTAAGTTTTTCAACAGACATTTGAATATATGCTTTCTAAACACATAGAAGGAGCTTTCTATAAAAAATACCCCTAACAAGAAACTAACGGTAAATAATTAACATTTTATTTAAATTACTGTTTTTAGTTGAGATAAAAAACTAAATGGCACTAGCGGGATTCGAACCCACGATCTTCGGCTAGATACGCCGCTACCACTTGAGCTATCGTGACCTCGTTGCACTCGGACACTAACTTCCCATCTCACCACCACCTTTTGAATTTTCCCTCCTTTTTGCCATTTTTCAAATAATTTCAAAGTAATATATTAATTGGTCAAGCGGACCACGAAATTAGTGAATTATTCAAAAGTAGTAGTAGTGTCTTTATTTAACAAGGAACAATTTGCATATGTCTCCATACATCGAAGTACAACGTAAGTTAAATTTTCTATAGACATTTGCTTATGATCATAATTATTTATATTAGTTATCAGACTTTATTATTCTTTAATTTTTATGTAAGGCAGGTTGTGAAGAAAATTAATGTCATAAGCGGAACTCGGACCCACGACCGGGGCTTATGACACTAATTTTCCTGACAACCGTCCTCACATAAAAATTGTTAAGAATTAAAAAATAATAAAATCTGATAACTAATACAAATAATTATGATCATGAGGCAAATGTATTTAGAAAGTTCCGCTTATGGCAATAGGAATCGTTTGAAGAGAGTATTTAAAATATATGGAAAAGCGATAGTATTCAGAAAAGTATAATTGTTTTTTTACTCAATTTTAATAGTTTACGTAAACAGGACGTCTTAATTATTCCAAGGTTCAACATATATACCACCAGAGTTGTTCATTGAGATCTACACGGCAACGACTTTGTTCATCCGCAGAATTTCGGTTATTACAGTA